ACTTGTCCTGAAAACCCAAGTCGCTCGGAATATCTTCCAGTCACGTGGCAGCTTGACTTTGATTGGCTGTGTCGGCTGTCGCGGGAGGGTATTTGGTAAAACGTTTTACATTGTAACCTGCACGGTGATCTCACCCGAAAGACGGCGATAATTGTCATTCTCAATATTTGGTCGTGAAAAGTCCACGCGTAAAAGAGAAGTTAGGAATGGTGTCGGAATTAAAAAAAATCGTTTCCATATGAGACGGAGAGCTCGAGGAGAGTAACATTTGGGGACGTGACAAAGAGGAAAACGGAACCGGGGCCATGTTTTAGAGCAAACGCTGCATGTGGTGCGGTGTGGCGTCAGACATCCATAATTAGTTCATTCCCCTTTCACCAGAGAAACCGCTGACTTGATTCACGCCGAGGATGAAATGTCTTGCCGTTTACTGCCGAGTAGAGTAACGTGCAGAGAGGTGAGCATGCGCGGAATAAATGGCAGTCCAACGATCAGTCAGTTGTGTGGTTCTAGATTTGATGTTTTCGTGACTGCAAGGATTTGTACTATTTAGTTTTTTCGGTAAAGTGACTTAGGAATAAATAAATAAATAGACAACTAAATAAAATCACGACGTTTCGGAGGCAGCGTGTGTGTTGCGGAGGCAGCTTGTGTTGCCTCCGAAACGTCGTGATTTAGTTTAGTTATTTTTTCATTTTTCTTTTTTACTTAAGTGACTTTACCGAAAAACCAAAGAGCACTGCTGTGTGGTGATGTCATGGTTTGCCCAACTCGCAATTCGACGAATCGTCACCAGTCAGGGCGGCGACTCATTTGAAGATTTGGTTATTCCTTTTTAAACATTTTACTGAATCTAGTGGTCCCTTACTGACTAGAGGGGGGGTCATTTTAACACACTGCGTACACCATATTCAAATAGAAAAAACATAAATGCTCGCATACGAGATGTGACACTCGTTTCGTTAGCCTGGAAATCGGTAATAATCGGTGTCAGTCGATGCATCCGTACACCCAGGGGTGCCGCGGTGGCTAGGAGATGTTAATTCCCTCACCTGGTATGCAGGAGGTCGTGTGTTCGATCCCGACCCTGTGACGCCTGTTGTACATTTGGAGTTTTCATCTTCTCCCTGTCGTCGCTTGGATTTTTCTCCGGGTCCTTTGGCGTTTCCCTCCAACATTCAGGATTGACATCACGCGTTTAGACTAATTTTTGGCTGCTATAAATTTCCACATGATAAGCCACTTCGTTGAGCTATAGATTGTTGTCAGGTCGCTTTTGAAAAAGAGCTGCAGTCACACCTCGGTATTCGACCGCTTTGGAATACGTCGAATTTGGTATACGTCGTGTTTTGACGAGAAAAAAATGTCTTGGGATACGACGCACTTGCTTGGGATACGACGTCTTGCTTGGGATACGACGTCTTGCTTGGGATACAACGTCTTGCTTGGGATACGATGTCTTGCTTGGGATACGACGTCTTGCTTGGGATACGACGCACTTGCTTGGGATACGACATCTTGCTTGGGATACGACGTCTTGCTTGGGATACGACGTCTTGCTTGGGATACGACGCACTTGCTAGAACTTGTATGGGTCAGGATGAGTCGCCGCGTACCCGCGTAGAACCCATTCACGACTCAAACAAAGCGCCGCTCCTCAGTCTGCCTGTACAGTTGATCTTGTTCAGTGCACAACCCTTAATTTATTTAAGCATTTTTTTAAATTTATGTATGCATTTTAGTAATAAGTAGTGTCCAAATTATTTTATACAACCCCATTAATGTATAACATGCCATATAAAATATAATTTCTTAAACTCTGGAACGGATTATTTCCTTTCCCTTTATTTCTTATGGGAAAAATTCGTTTGGTGTCTACGTCATTTTCGGTATCAGTCCTACCTTCTGGAACGAATTAACGACTTATATCGAGGTACCACTGTATATTGCTCAGTGGGCCTTACCTGGTATAATAAATAAAAATTCGTTTAAAAAAATACCGTTGAGAAATAAGTCGGTAACTTTAATAACCACGTGTTTTTTCTTCTGTGTGACTGTCTCGCCAAGGTGTTTTCACCTTGAAACGGGTTCAGACAGAAGCATATTTTTTGACGTTTCGCTGTAAAACGACACCCGAGTCCAATTGCCGACCAACATACAGGAGGCTGACTTCATAGGAGCGGATGGCATGTGTTGGCTGAAAGGAGACTTCAAGCATTTGTAACATTTCCCATTGCTACGGATCTCTGTGAAGAATGTGATTTCACACGCAAGTCATGACTCCTGTTACGGAGAGTTGGGCGCCCCGTTGTGACGATCTGTGGGTTCGTGTTAAGCCACGGTCCTTGTCTGCCGCTCTTCAACGGGGTATTCTTTACACACGAGTTATGTCGATTATATTTCATACGTGAAATGTTAAAGTGTAAAAATAAACTAAATAAACTATGTCAAAAAATAGTATATGAACTATTTATTTTTCGATTTAAAGCTTTTGTGACTGCAGGGATCCATATTCTTGGTTCTTTCGGTAAAGTTACGTAGAAGGGAAAACAATAAAATAATAAAAATAAAACATAATAAAATACAATTTTCACGACGTTTCGATTGCAACACAAGCAATCATCATCAGGTGTGAAAAAACACAGCAGCCTATTTTATTGTTTTCCCTTCTACGTGACTTTACCGAAAGATCCAAGAATATGGATATTTTGTTTTACTTTTTCAGGTAAGGCCCACTGAGCTACATAGCTCTTTTTCAGAAGCGACCTAGCCATCACAAATTGGTGCTCAACGAAGCGGCTTATCACGTGGACATTTAAAGCAGCCAAATACTCTAAATGCACGTTTCTAAATGTGAAGGGAAAAACCGGAGGACCCGGAGAAAAACCCACGTGACTACGGGGAGGGGGAGAGCGAGAGAGACACGCAAACTTCAAATATACAGCAGCAGGTGTTGGGGTCGGGATCGAACCCACGAACTCCTGCATACCAGGCGAGGGAGATAACATCTCCTAGCCACCGCGACATGTTAATGTAAAATTAATGAGCTCAATAAATTTTCCAAAGGAAACAAAAACATGAAAAACGTTGTAAATAAGACTACATAAAAAAAACACGTATTGTGACTTCCAGATCTTGACTCGTTTAACTTAAATCGATGGCTCGGCAGGTTGGGTGAGAGACGACAAATTCCCGGACGGAGAGAGCCGGTATGACGGCGGTCACCTGCACACAACGTGAGGTTGCGCCGTGGTGGGGTGAGAGGGGAGAAGGGGGTGGGGGCCTTCGCTCGGCCTCTGCAAACTCTGCGAAACCGCTTCGTCGGTTCGCGCCTTCCTCCGCATGCGCTGATTCACTCCGCCCTGGAACAGGATATACGGGGGTTGTGGCGTGTAGACTGGCGAGGAATGACGATCCCCCATCATTTCACCAGATGCTTCCGATGACAAAAACGTCCTTCGATGTTAGCGAGCGCATTCGCAGGCAGGAGCAAGCGCGCGCGCGCGTGCGGGGGACCTCGCTGGGGAGATGGGGAAGGGCCGAGCGATGCAAAAAGCACATGGTGCTCATGACTGTTCTGGAACTTTGCTACGCAAATTACACACTCCCAATAGAGCTATAGACGCTCGCTCAACGGGGGAGACACCTGCACCGTATAACGTCACCAAGCATAAGCCAGAAGTGTGTGATGGTATGTCTCTGTTTTTGGCGTCAGTGTTGAGCAGGTAACGGCACATCCTTGCAATGTTTCTCTCCTGCCACTGCTGGCGGAAGGACCTCCATCTCGAGCGCTGCTCTAAAGAGCCGTATTCGAGGATGGTTTGATTGAAGGTTTAAACTTCAAATCTAGAAGTGATTGAAGGTTATACGTTGTGAATGAATAAACTATATTCTTATGCATCCAACCAGAGTGCAATTGCGCTCTATAATCGGTGCATATTCATAAATTAGGTGTGGCAGGAATGATTGACCACTAAGTCACCTCTAGATGCGTTCACCTAAACCTTCTACAGCACAATTGGCGTTGGGGAAACGTGAGCTTTGGATTTCCTCCTCTCGCCGCTGCGAAACGTGGTAACTGAGAAAGCCACGGGGATATTTCCGTGCGAGTTAAGGGGGTGGGTGCCAGGGGGGGGGGGCATGGGGGGCAATGGAGACTTTTACGAACGCTCGGTCCCAAGTTCGTGCGCCCTGTGAGCCTGAGCGTCCAGACTGGACAGAGAAGAAACGAGGGTATGTATCCCGCCATGGTGGCGAGATGTTAACTACCTCGCTTGGTACGCGGAAGGTTGTGGGTTCGATCCTAACCCCGACGCCTGGTGGGTTCAGTGATGACGTCATCTTGCTCTATTTAAGACCGGAAGCTGGTGGATTGCTTCACTATTCTGGCAAATCGCCCGATGACGTTGGGTGTAATTACCGGCGAAACGTCACGTTACTCGCATTGTAAACGTCGTGGATTTACTCTCCAACCCACCGGTGGGCTGAGGTAGTAAACGAATTGGCGCGTTGTTTACGGGACAAACCTTACTGGCTGTGTCGGGTGGTGGAGGGTTACGACACAAAAACCTTCATTGTGAACGGCAAGGGGGGTGCGGCACCGCTCACTCTTGATAGTTCCAATGGAGATTCTCGCATTCTGTGACGCCGAGAGCGCATTTTGAACTTTGACTTCAAACTTCCGTGACTGCAGGAATTCATATTCTTGGTTCTTTCGGTAAAGTCTCGTAGATAGAAAATAAAAATCATAAAATAACATTTTTATTTTTTTATTTTCTATCTACGTGACTTTACCGAAAGAACCAAGAATACACATTTTGAGCGTACGGGGTGGTGGTGGTGGTGGGGGGGGGGGGGTGCAAGCTTGTGGAAGACAAGCGAGACGCGGCGTGGTTGCTTGTTATGCCGTCGTGCTCATTTCCGACGACCTATTTCTCTCGTTTCCTCGCTTCTCCTTTTCTCTCTCCCCACCACCCCCCCCCCTCCTTTCCCGGGAGCAGAAGATCCGCTCGAAGGTCGAGCTGGAGGTGTACGAGCAGCCGGACGACGTGGTGCTCTCCTTCACGGCCGTGTGCCAGAACGGCACGGTGAGGCCCGGCCAGCGGCAGTGCGGAGGCCTCCGCGTGAGGGACACGGTGAGAGCCGCCGTGCGTCCCGCCGTGCGTCCCGCCGTGCGTCCCGCCGTGCGTCCCGCCGTGCGTCCCGCTTGCGTCCCGCTTGTGTCCCGCCGTGCGTCCCCCCGTGCATCCCGCCGTGCGTGCCCGTGTCCCGCTTGAGGCCCGCTACAAAAATCTGCGCTCAATGGCTGACGGAGCTTGCGGTGGTCTGGCTTCGTCTTTTTGCGGAACGCCTTTTTCCCCCGGTTCCGTTAGGGACGGTCCCGTCAGTCGAGGTTTTCGGCGCACGTCTGAAAAACCGCGTTTATTTTCTCCTGCGTATCCGTCTGTGTAGGGTTGGTTTTTCTTTTGGTTTTAATGTTTTAGGGTTTTTATTTTTTACTGGGATTGTATTGTAAAGCAGCGCTGTGAGGTCTTGCGTGAAAGTTGCTATATATATAAAACACTGAGTTTTACTTATGATTCCAACGCACTGCTCTACGGGACGTCTGCCAAAAACATTCTCAGGCTGCGGTGTGTGCAGCATTCTCTGGCACGGGGTACTGCAAGGTCCGACACCGTGTCCGTCTCCAGTGCTCGCTGAGCTGTATTGGCTTCCGGTAGCCGAACAAATACGTTTCAAGGTCACACTCATTACACACAGAAAGTTCTTGCCTCAAGTGACCCACAATACCTTGCTGAGCTCGTCAAGGAGCGATAAACCACCACGCGATCTCCGTTCATCCATCGCAGCAGCTTTCGGCTGGCCCATCGAACAAAGATGGTCACCGCATGGCGCGCTTGCAGATGCGCTTCTACGGCCGTCTCGAGCGCTCTTGCTTCCGATATTAGGAAGCAAGTGGAGCTTTGCACTTGTAAGTCCTCTGTATTGGCAAACGAATTCATTTACCACTGCTTTTTGTGGGTTAGTTTGTGCGTTAGTTTGTTGTGGTCCTGTGCCGGGCCAGCCCAGCGTGGGTCAGCGACCGTCATCTGGGTTTTTTTTCCCACCGCAGAAGCTGACCTGTGCCGCTATCAACGTCACACTCGCCGAGTGACACCGTGGTGATGCTTGCGTGTCCTCACGGCTTGCCGACTTGCGGCGCGTTGCAGTGAACGGGTCGAGATGCGCGTAGGTGACGCCCGATGTCACACGCAGTGAAGGAGTCGAGGCACGCGTAACTGTTATAATAGTATTGGCGTTTATCCAGGAAAGGCTCACGGATACCTCTTTTAAATGATGTCGTTTATCAACGGTCATTTGACCGGAGCATTTTTTGAAAAAAAGTCGTTTTGTAATTTGATATAAAAATGAAGGGATGTCTTGTTTCAACTTGGCTTCACAGGAATGATCTTGAAGAATCGGTGGCCCTTAGCGGGTTTATTTTTGTCCTTACCTCATCTAGTCTCTTTCCTTCACACAAATGACGCGGGTTCCCTTCTTTCAAGTACGCTTCACCTTACTTAGCCTTGTTCACGACTGTTAAGGTCAGACTGTGGCTACATTATACGCACGGCAACCATCACCCGCTGCTGGTGAATCAATGCCCCAGGTGACTTGCAAATTGAGACGAGACGGGCCTGTTGAGTTCACACCCGGTTAAACACGAAATAGCATTGAAACCTGATCAAGACGTCGTTTCAACATTACCACCGTAATACATTTTGATGCCGTTGAGTCATAGCAACAACCATCCATCACCCACCGGGGGTTTCTGTGTTTCGGCACAGAAGCGTCACGTGTAGCTCAGTGTTTGTCGGAAAGTACTTCATCATCTCTGCTGTGACAATCTAGGGTTCCATTGCCTCAAATCTACCCTTTGTATTTTAGCGATTGAAATCGTCGCTGTTCCCGTGTGCTCACGCTTAGTGAGTCTCTCAGGGAGATAACTGAAACGTTATGTTGGGTTGTATACGTGCCTATATGAAATCATCCTCTGCATATAATCTTTACGATAAAAAATAAATAATAAATTTTTTTTATCCTGGAGAAATCCGATGAGCTATGAAGCGATTTTTCACAGATGTCGAGTAGGGGTGGCTCAGAAAGTCACGGCAACAAACAATACAAAACGATTGGAGTGCAAAATAGAGGGAAAATGTAAAATAAGGTATCTTTTCTCTTACTAAGTACAAATTGCAAAAGTATATTAACCATTTATATAAATACAAATGATAGCGCATACACATTCTTGCGGAGGGAGCTGGTAGGAACGTTGGGTTGCTCGGTCAATGGCCAGGGTCAACAGCGGCGTGGTGTATTCCGCAAATATGCCCAACTGTGAGGGCGGGCACAAGCCGGCGTGAGTAGGTGAAACGTAGAGTTTTATTAGGGCACCACGGGGTGACCAGCCCCTTCCCACCCAGCCCCACCCCTCCCACCCCTCACCCAGCCCCACCCTCCCCACCCAGCCCCTCCCCACCCTCCCCACCCAGCCCCACCCTCCACAGCTTTTCCCCACCCAGCCCCTCCCTCCCCACCCAGCCCCTCCCTGCACGATGGACACAATAATCCCCTGTGGGCTGGTGTAACCAGGAGGTTCCTACCAGTATTAGGTGGCTTATCATGTGGAAATGTATCGTAGCCAAATACTCTCAACCCGTGTTTCTAAATGGGGAGGGAAAAAAACAGAGGACACAGAGACAAATCCACGCGACCACGGGGAGAGAGAGAGAGAGACACGCAAACTCCAAATATGCAGCAGGCGTCATAGACGGGATCGAATCTACGACCTCCTTTATACCAGGCGAGGTAGTTAAGATCTCCTAGCCACCGCACCGCCCCATCTCCTCGTCATGTCTGGCTGTTGACTTGCCAACGTTGGGATCACTCGCGCGAAGACATTTATTCGCGCGAAACCTGTCAAGCTGCCTGTGTAAATGTTTGTGCGAAGGGCCTGGTTTGTGTGAAGGGCCTTGTTTGTGCGAAGGGCCTAGTTTGTGCGCGCACGTGGGTTTGCGTTGTTAGTGGCTTATTTTGTACGCGTAGATACCGCGTGCTCATGCATTGCTTTGTTAGCAGTTTGAATTGTGCCGGTGGTTGGGGGAAATAGTTTGAGTGCGTTTGATTAGCGTTGCAATGGTTTGGTTTGCGGTGTGTTAATGGTTTGGTGCGTATTAAGCAGTCCCTCCAGAAAAACGCGATTATGCGATCGCATGATTCCATGCAAAATCAGCCAAAGTCCGCATATTTATGCGGGGGGCGCGTTTTTTCAAATACGCCGCACTTTCGCCGCATAAATTGCAGATTTCCGCGTGCAAAATATGCGGGCTTGCATGATTTCATAATCCCCGCATTTTCGTTGCAAAAAGTCACATATATCTTAGCAGAAAGTTGAAAAATGTTGCGTTTACTTCACACAAGCGCAGCCATTTCTCCTGTTGCCATGGGAACGTTATGAAGTGACGTCACTCATTACACGACATCATTGAAAAGCTGCAAACCCCGCGATGCCAATGAAACCATGATGAAGCCCGCAAATCTTTCTCATTTGCCAACAAACATAAGCGCATAAGACCGCGCAAAGCAGTTTCCCAGTGTGTTACATGACAGTGGGGGCAAATTATTTTGCACTCCGTGCAACTGCGTGTTGGACCACAGGCGGAAGTCGACGCTGGACAGTCACTTTGCAACCGACAAACATTCGAGGATGGTTAAAGCAGCAGCGGAATCAGCAACAGCATCTACAAACTAGTGTTGTCTAACCGAAGATCAACTACCAACCAAAACCTCAAAGCCTTGGTCTTCCTTTACCATAACCAACGAGTCCGCAGTGGAGCATTTGAGAGGGAGGAGATGGTGGAGGGGGAGGAGATGGACACTGAGGGAGAGGGGATGGAGGATGAGGATGGTGAATGATTGGCCAGTGTTAGAGGCTACGTAGTTAGTTTTATTCAGGAGTTTATGCAACTTTACAGTTGTAAGATTGCACTTTTTTGTTAGTAGTATGTAAATTTACATTACTGTAAGACTGTACTGTTACTGTATTGCTTACGTTACTGTGCACTGAAAACACTTATTTTAACAGAAGATGTCTGTTTTGTATAGCTACCTCTGTAAAACAGGAAGCACACATTTTATTTTTTAATATTTTATTTATTCATTTTGACAGAAGTTGTAGCATATTCATTTCGTAAAGCTACAGAACTTGTTCGACTCAATGTTTTGTAAGTTTGAGCCATCTGTTTGTTAAGGTCTGAAATAAAACAAGATGAGAACTTAAATATTCCCAGCACTTTCTGTGATGTAGTATGCTTGCTTATCATAGGAAGTAATAAGAAATTACTCTTTACATTAAAGTAGTAGCCTAGTGAATAGGGTGTTGGGGGAATTACTTTTTTTTCTATTTTTCATCAAACCGCAGTTTGTGCAAGTTCCCACAATTTAATCGCGTAAAATTGCATAAATATCCCGCATATTCCATCGCATTTTTTAAGAAAACGTGCCGCATAATCAACGATTTTTGCCCGCAACAATCACCAAAAAACTCCGCGTTTTTCTGGAGGGACTGATTAAGAAGTCTGCGTTGTGTGTTCATGTTTCGGTTTGCATGTAAATTTTATTTGTTTTTGTCGTACAGTGCCACCTCGTGGTAGTACTTGGGAAGCCAATAGCGCGTCAGAGCACACAGAGCCAGCGCGCGCACGAGCGCCCACGCTAAGACACGAGCACGTGGAGAGTAAAGTCAGGTGGCCCACCTAACTGATACGTTCGTCAACATTGTTATCGCGCGATACTGCCGTTGGCAGTGGTGTGCAGGCACAAAGGGCAATAACACTGCCCCAGAAGGAAAATATACATGATTAGAAACGGCATTGGGCAACAGGCTGGCTATGATGAATGACCATTTTCCACTACTTCACCTATTATATATTTATTATTCCTTTCGGCGCAGCGCTATTGACGAACGTATTGATCTTGTGCTGTTAACAGCGTGTCGGAGGGCTATGCCGGCACCTGTGAGATGATTGCGGATTTGAATCTGAGCAGCCACCCGTGACTAAACCCTGTTCTCACATTACGCGAAGGGCAAAATATTCCAACTAAATAATCTCTACATCGATGGGACCCCATAACTGCTCCACCCGAGCCATCGATGCTTTGATATTTGCGTTTTCATTGTGCCGTTCGCCTTTTGGCGGTGTTCTCTGGTCTGACACCGGTGAGACTCGGCCATGAAGGAGGCTGTCTCTGGTGTAGGCCACTCGGTTTCAAAGACAATGCATACGTTGTTATCAAAGCCACATCTGTTTGCATATTCTACCACAAGCATGCATGGTTCGTGCAGACTTGATGATACCTTGCGGATAGAGGTGCCTATTTGATGTTTAAACAGCTTAACACCTCCTGTATTTTTGCCGGCAAGTGTAAAGCCGATTAGCACGGTTGGCTTCGTACGATACGAAAGAAGTTCAACGTACGTACGTACAAAGCCTTTTAATATTTTTTATTATCACTGCTACTTCTGCTGCTGCTGCCGCCGCTGCGTGTCGTCCCACTTCAGGTGAGCTTCACCGTCACGGCGGAGGCGCGTGGATGCCCCCGCGGCGCCGGGGACGACGGCGCTGGCACCAGCGGCGCCGCCGTGGGCCCCGGCGCGCGTTCCTACGAGCGCAACTTCACGATCAAGCCCGTGGGCTTCCGCGACAGCCTGCACGTGACGGCGCTGGTGCGGTGCGGCTGCGCTTGCGAGGCGAGCGTCGTGCTCCGCAGCCCGCACTGCTCGGGGGGGTACGGCTCGCTCTCCTGCGGCCTGTGCCGCTGCAACCCCGGCAGGATCGGGGAGCTGTGCGAGTGCCAGGAGGGAGAGCTGGGACCGTCCGGGAGTGCGCCGGTACGGTGTGCAACTTTTCACCAGGAAGGGGGGGGAGGAGGGGCAGGGTGGAGGAGGGTGGGGGTGTCTTGTTGGTGTCAAGAGCAGCCTCTGTGGAGGAGGAGGCTCGTGAAGGACGCTGCTGGGCGGTTGGAGGCAGTCGCCCTCCACGACAACGAGCGGAGCGCCGGGCGGCTAAAACGCAGCAAGTTGGCACAGTAGGGGGGCACAGGCGGTGCATCTGCCAGTGCTCTCGGTCACCTGGGTCTGTCTTGTGACCTCCTGCCAGCGAGCCTTCGACGCTTAACGTGGCCTCAGAATGCACATAGTCTGGCACGAGCGACGTCACCGAATGGGGGTTGTTGTTGTTGTTGGGAAGCGGCAACGAACCCGGCGACCCAAGTTCGATTCCCGCTCACGGCCAACACGAGTGACTATTATCTGAACCGGTCCTGGCCCTCCGCCTAGGTCGACTCGGCCTCAAATGAGTACCTGGTGCGATGTGTAGTAAACGTCGCCACCGGGGAGACGAAGGCGGTCGGGGTGGCGTGGCGGCGGCCACCCACACCGCCTCTCGTTACCGGTGCCAACTTTCATAGGTGCCGCACGCTCATAGCGCTTGCCCCCCCCCGTACATTCTGCGAAGGCTCCACGGTTGGGGTGGGGGACCCCTTGTCTTTGTGTCCGACGGCAGGGCTCGGCGTGCCGCATGAGGGAGCGCAGTTTGCCGTGCAGCGGCCGTGGGGAGTGCGTGTGCGGCCAGTGCCTGTGCCACGCCAGCGAGTTTGGCCGTGTCTCTGGGGCCTTCTGCGAGTGCGACAACTTCTCGTGCCTCCGTCACAAGGGGCTGCTGTGTTCCGGTACGTACGTGCGTGCGCGTGTGTGCGTGCACATACACACAAGACATAAACTAAATTATAAAATCTTTTTTTTTTTTATTAGGTAAGGCCCTTTAGCTGTGTAGCTCTTTTTCAGAAGCGACCGGGCCACAAATGATAGCTCAACGAAGTGGCTTGTCATCACGTGGAAATTCATAGCAGCGGCCAAATACACTGACCGCACGTTGATTCTAAACACGGAGGGGAAAACTGGAGGACCCGCAGAAAAATCCACACGAGACCACTGAGAGAAAGAGACATGCAAACTCCAAATGTACAGGCGTCGGGGTCGAACCCACGATCTCCTGTATACAAGGCGAGGGAGGTAGCATCTGGCGCCCACCCCTCCCATGTCGCCTGCATAGGCTGGGAGGGCAAAGTGCTGTGAGCGAGAGCCTGTCAAGGATGTCACAACGGCACGAGGATTTCGTGTGGTCGGCACCGTGCCGGACGTCTTAGTCTTGCCGGTGCTGATAACACTGGTTAACACACTTTTTCTGCCATAAGGTTTTAAGGTGCTGATTCCAAATCTGGCATCAGTTTTTGTCTATCACATCAGGTTTTTGAGATATCAAATATTGCATTTTCAATAAAAACTGCAGAAGAAAAATATTAAATAAATGTGGATATCTACGTAAAATGATATTATAAACACACTATCCTAAATATACAGCACCATATTTTAACACTAAAGCAGTCACTGACTCACAACAACTTGCAATCATAAGTGACAGAGTTAATTTCGGGTAAAATCAATAAAAATGGGGTATGCCGATAGCATAAAAATGATGTGATAGAACAAATCTGAGATCAGATTTGGAATCAGCACCCTGAAATTAGTCTAAAACAGCAAAAGTCCAGGCCAGAAAAAAAAGTTTTTTTTTGTTGACCAGTGTAATTTTCACACCTTAACGAGTTCCTCGTTTCAGACTCAGTAGACGTAGTGGGGATCCAGGACCCTTGACTGCCTTGCCGGTATGAGCGAGAGAGAGACGAGTGAGACTCCAAGTGGAGCGCCGGATCGTCGGTGAGGATTGTGAGCGTGGAACGTCCGATGCCGAAACATGCCCGTCGTGTTTGTAATTACCGGCGAAACTTCATGGTGCTCAAATTGTGAATGTTGTGGATTTACTCTCCAACACGCCGGTGTGCTGAACTAGTAACTGATCGGCACGTTTTGTTTACGTGACAAACCTTTACTAATTGGCCGTGTTGGGTGGTGGCGGGTTTAACGACACATTTATTTTCACGCGATCTAACCAACATCAAAAACCTCTTCTGGATAATATTGTTTGTGAAAGCCCTCTGTGATAAATTTTCTGCCTTCCTTGGGACGTTGGGATCGTGGTCTGGGATGTGTCGACCTCCCTATTGTGATTATATTTTTCCATCTTGATTTGAAACTTTCGTGAATGCAGGAATTCATACTCTTTGGTTCTTTCGGTAAAGTCACGTAGGTATAAGTAAAATAAATCACGACGTTTCTGGCGCAACACAAGCGTCCGTCATCAGGTGACGGACGCTTGAGCTTTCTGTTTTGGTGTCACATCTTAATTTGTTCAATTCATTTTTGAATTTGCTTGATAGTGTGCTGTATCAATGGGTTCTAGATTTGAAGCTTTCGTGACTGCAAGGATTCATACTCTTAGTTTTATGCTGTATCAGCAAATCTGGCTGTGACGGTCCCACCTGAAGACGGAGACTTGTGTTGCCTCCGAAACGTCGTGATTTATTATTATTTTATTTTTATTAATTTTAATTTTATTTTTTACCTACGTGACTTTACCGAAAAAACTAAGAGTATGTATATATGGGATTTGGTCATTATATGTAATTAACGAACAGCATCACGGGATGCTATTCACGTGAATGACACCATAGATAATATTGGTCGCCAAAGCCTGACGCTACGTGTTAAACTGACGCCCGTCATCCGTCCCCCCCTCTCTCTTGTGCTCCCCCCCCCCAGGCAACGGGCACTGCGAATGCGGCGAGTGCCGCTGTGGCCCCGACTGGGTCGGCGAAAGCTGCAACTGCACGACGCGCACGGAGGCCTGCCTGGGCGCCGACGGGCATCTCTGCAGCGGCCGGGGGCTGTGCTCGTGCGGCCGCTGCGTGTGCACCCAGCCCGGCGCGTTCGGCGACGTCTGCCAGAAGTGTCCCACGTGCCCCGACGCCTGCAGCATCAAAAAGTAACGCCACGGGGCACCCCCCCCACCCAACACCCTCCCCCTACCCCCCACTCTCCCCCCCACCACCACCTCCTCCCTCCACCAGTCAAGCGCCACGTTGGTGAGATGTTAACTACCTCGCCTGGTGTGCAGGAGGGTCTGGGGTTCAATCCCGACCCTGACGCCTGCTGCTGTATATTTGGAGTTTGCGTGTCTCTCTCTCATCATCATCACGGTGGCTAGGAGATGTTAACTACCTCGCCTGGTATACAGCAGGTCGTGGGTCCGATCCTGACGCCTGCTGTATATTTGGAGTTTGCGTGTCTCTCTCTCTCATCATCATCACGGTGGCTTGGAGATGTTAACTACCTCGCCTGATATACAGCAGGCCGTGGGTCCGATCCTGACCCTGACGCCTGCTGCTGTATATTTGGAGTTTGCGTGTTTCTCTCTCTCTGCCCGTGGTCGCGTGGATTTTTTTTCTGGGCCCTTCGGTTTTTCCCTCCACATTTAGAAACATGTGATTAGACTATTTAGATTATTTTGCTGCGATAAATGTCCACATGATAAGCCACTTCGTTGAGCGATCGTTTGTGGCCTGGTCGCTTTTGAACAATAAGTTAATATCTCAGTGGGTGTTGCCTGGCAGGATGGGGATGGTTTAGTTTTATTTGTACGTGTTTGGGTGATTTGTTTACCGTTATTGTACTTTGCACTCTTATCGTATCGTTGTTTCTGTATTGTTTGTTCCTGTAACTTTAAATCTAGATTTGAAGTTTTTGTGACGGCAAGGATTCATACTCTTTGGTTTTTTCGGTAAAGTCACGTAGGTAAACATTTTAACTAAATTAAATCACGACGTTTCGGGTGCAACACAAGCCTCCTCCTTCAGGTGGGGACAACTTAGCGAAAGCACAACCGCTTAAGTGTGTGTGTGTTCCTGTAACGTTCTTACCCCGTGGCCCGGCTGGAGCGACAGCGCCGTTTTTCGCCAGAGGTCCTTCGAGCCCAGCGTCTGCTCTGCTCAAAGTTAAAAGTTAAAAAAGTAGAGTCGCAACTGAAAGTGGTTTATTGATCGTATGAGCATTGAGCGCGTCGTTCATCTCATAGTCAGTGGTTGAAATGCCACATCCCTTAGTGTGGGAGGGGGGGGAGGCGAGTCTTTTGCGTAGGACAACAGCTTTTTTTCGCAAAGTGTTAACTCATTTTAATCGGCTTCGGAGGAGTCATGATGGGCTGAGTCGACCCCCTCTGACGGGGATATTTGAACTCGCGACCTTGCGATTGCGAGCCACACGCTTGAGCCACCCGGCGGGTTAATACCGCGGTAGTATTCACCGGAAACGCCACGCCGCGCACTTCCCAGCGGACGTTTAAAAAAAAAATACCACGTTGTTATTCGTGTCAACGGCCCCGAATGTGACAAAAATGACGGCATTTCTCCGGGCTTTCTGCAGTGGGAATATAACCTGCCAGCTCCTTGACCCCCGCAATGGACCCCGGCGCGGCTCGCATGTTGCGGTGGGGGCGAGGTGGTATACGTTTTGATCATTACCCCATGTGTAGAGATAGTTCAATGTTTTTTGTGCCATTTTGTTGAGTGGATACTTTACTGTGTGTTCTCTTGGTGTGGTCTGGCACGGTTTCGTTGTTGTCGTCGTTGTTGTTGTTTGTGGCTTGCCCACTCTTCATAATTAATTTATTCTTCGGTTCTTTCGGTAAAGTTACGTAGATAGAAAATAATACAATAAAAATAATACTGTTTTTTTTTTATTAAACTCAACGTTTAACCTACTCACGCCGGCTTGTTGCCGCCCTCACAGTCGGGCATATTTGCAGAATACACCACGCCGCCGTTGACCCTGGCCATTGATCGAGCAACCCAACGTTCCTACCAGCTCCCTCCGCAGGAATGTGTTGATTGGCTGAAACGGTGCGCATTCCGGAGGGCGGCTCCGCGCTTGTGATTGTTCGGACGCTACGTGTTCACAGGGAGTGCGTCGAGTGCCGGCTGTTCCAGCGGGGGCGCCTCTGGGAGGACGGCTCGTGTGCGCAGATGTGCGTCGACGAGATCCAGCAAGTGGAGACGATAGGTCCGTCGCACACACACACGCACGCACGCACGCACGCACACACGCACGCACGCGCTGCACATCTTCATGGGACATCCCTTGCCAGTATCAAAATATAAGAATAGGTTTTACCCCTTTCTGGCAATAAAACAGTTGTGTTAAGATTTTAAAAGACCAAGCTGAAATATTTTACTAGGAATCATGTTTGCATTGACCACATGTAACTTGTAGTGAACATGCAAACATAAAACCTGCTCTGGTAAGTATATGTATTGTCTTTGAAACTGATTGGTCCAGACCAGAGTACAGCTTTCTTGAGAGCGTAGTTCTTAAACGGTGTTAGACCAGAGGACGTCAAAAGGCGAACAGCACGAAGACAATGGTGAGTAATGCCTGCTGGGCTGCATGCTGTAGGCAGCGCTGCATGCCCCAGTACACAGTCTTTGACATCAAGGACCAGGGGTTACGAGGCTCAGGCTGAAGCCAAGGTCCAGGTGCCTGGGCGTCCGAAGCCAGTGTCAAGACCAGTCAAGGCCACGTGCTCTATACCAGGGGTGGGGAACGTCCGGCCCGCGGGCCGTATGAGGCCCGCGAAATCATTTCGTCTGGCCCTGCCAAGGCAACCGCACGACTCGAAATTCAATAAATCGATGCGCTTTTTTCATAGCAACATGAATTTAATTTTGTATGGCCCATGAATGATGTTATAAATATCCAAATGGCCCTTTGCAGAAAAAGTTTCCCACCCCATCTAGACCAATGGTTCCCGGCCTCGCTTGTATGTACGTACTTTGAACTTTCGCACCGTACGTAGCCAACCGTGCTCATTGGAGGTGCGGACCGCCGTCAACCCTCAAAATATTTCCGCATGCCTCCGTGCACCGATAACGCACATTTCGAAACTTAGACCTACTCTTGATGAATGCCAGGAATCGGCAGATGTCGCCGAGAGCCAGCCGTGTTGACGAGCCGTGAATGCGGTCTGCGAATCATTGGGCAGTTCCACGGACCAATCCCCCACGACCTTTCAGACCGACCCTCCCGGTGGTCTGTGGACAAGCGATTGGGGACCACTCCTCTAGGCTTAGGCCTTGGTCAAGGCCGGTGGCTCCAAGCCAAGTCCTCAGACCCAAGCCCACACCCCGGAGGTCACTCTCAGGGATGTGAGAGCCTAGCGGTGTCGATTCCCAGGAGACTTGTCTTGAAGCCCCAAGACTGCTCGGTAACCACACGTATGCACGTATGTACGTACGTATATTTTAACTCATTTCGTAGGCAACCGTGTTTATCGGAGGTGCAGGGCCGAAAGACAACAAACTAAACGCAAAAAGCAGTTCTAAAGAAATTAGTTTTCAATCCAGATGATTTAAAAGTGCATAGATAGCTCCCAGTGGGGTCCTAATATTGGAAGGAAGAGCGTTCCAGACGGCCGCGGAAGCGCATCTGAGAGCGCCACGCGATGCAGTGACCGTCTTCATGTTCGACGGGCGAGCCACAAGCCGCTGCCTGCCGCGAGGGTGGCCGTCGAGTTCGCGTGGCGATGGTTCGTCCACGCGTCGCTTGCGCAGCGGCGATCTGCGATGCGCCGTTGACGTCACGCAGCGGGCGGGCGCGTCTGCGCGCCCCCGTGTGTTGGTGATGCAGATGAGAGTCACAAGGACGCCGTGACCTGCAGCTACAAGACCCAGGACGATTGCATCATGTCGTTCACTTACACAGAGGACTCGGACGAGAAGTCCGTTCTGGCTGCGCTCAAGGAGCCAGGTAAACCCGTCCGTAGTCTGCACGAGCGTTCACCATGTGATCATACTCGTATTTACGGTACATGTGCATGTGCGTATGTCTATATACAGTAAAACCTTGGATTGCGAGTGTTTTGCAAGACGAGCAAATTTTTAAAATATTATTTTGATAAACGGGCGACGTCTTGAAATACGAGTAGTGCGTGTATACGCTTTGTTTGCCGAGCGTCACGTGATCACAACTGATGTACGAGTGCTTTGGATTACAAACACGTTTCCGGAACGAATTATGCTCGCAATCCAAGGTTTGACTGTATACTGAAGTTTTTTTGCAAATCCACTGCCAGATGAGGGCCTCGCCCGCCATGACGAGCGGGTCGTAGAGGTTGTTTGACCGAATGCGTCATGCTGGTCAGTGCGGGTATTGTTGAAGGGCTGGGAGCATAGACGTGGGTTGATGGGGCACCAGTCAGTCTGGTGGACTTGAGTCCTCAACATGTGCGGAGCGATCAAGGAGTGATTTTCGTGGGAAATGGTAACCACGGTAGTAGTGATAGAGGAGTGACAAGGAAGCCACTGACCGCCACTGAGCACATTTCCAACCAACGTCGCACCGCAAGCATCGTCGCACACCTGCCTGATTCCCTTACTGATAAACTATGAAACTATTCACTAAATTTTATTTTGCCAGGTAAGGCCCCACAGAGCTTTATAGGGCTTGTTCAGAAGAGACCTGTCTATCACAGATGATAGCTCAAGGGAGTGGCTTATCGCGTGGAAATTTATAGCAGCAGCCGAATATTCTGAACGCACGTTGATTCTAAACGTGGAGGGAAAAACCAGAGGACCCGGAGAAAAATCCACACGAACACAGGGAGAGAGAGAGAGACGCAAACTCTAAATATACAGCAGGCGTCAGGGTCTGGATGGAACCCACGACCTCCTGCATACCAGTCGAGGCAGTTAATATCCCGTGAACTCCTCTGGCTCCCGTGTTGTCCGCCTCTTCCCCCACCCCCGGTGCGCCGTCACGCAGAGTGCGCCCACGGCGTGAGCGAGACCAACGCGGTGCTGTGCGTCGTGGCCGGCGTTCTGCTCGCCGGCGTCGCCGCTCTGCTCGCGTGGAAGCTCATGGTGACGGTGCAGGACCGGCGCGCTTTCTCGCGCTTCCAGAACGACCGCATGCACGCCAAGTGGGGCGCGGTACGTATCAGAATCGGAATCTTTGGTTAATGCTGGAGGAATCCGATGAGCCAGTTGAGGCGGGTAAGAAGGTTGCAACAACAACAAAAAATATTATAACATGATAGTAGTGCAAAGTACAAGAAAGATGTTAAACAAATTCTTGGTTCTTTCGGTAAAGTCACGTAGAAGGGAAATAATAAAATAATAAAAATACAACTATTAAATTCTCGCGACGTTTCGATTGCAACACAAGCAATCCTCATCAGGTGTGAAAACCACAGTAAGAAAATTTGAAAAAGTGGCGGTTTTTTTCTTAACGCTAGCACTTTTTTCAAATGTTCTTGCTGTGGTTTTCACACCTGATGATGATTGCTTATGTTGCAATCGAAACGTCGTGAGAATTTTATAGTTAAATTTTTATTATTTTATTATTTCTCTTTTACGCGACTTTACCGAAAGAACCAAGAATATGAATTTCTGAAGTCACGAAAGCTTTAAATCGAAAGATAAACAAATCGCACACAATCATACAAATACAACACTCAACCATCTCCATCCTACCAGCTCGAGCCCACCGAGGTATTCATTTATTTTTCAGACGTGACCTGGCCACAAATGATAAGTCAACAAAGTGGCTTGTCACGTGGAAATTTATATCAGCAAAATTCATCTAAATAATATCAATGTTTCGAAATGTCTTTTGAACTTCTATCGCAACTGTGCGTAGCCAACCGTGCCAATCGGAAGTTCGGGGAGGGGGGAAAACAAACTGAACACAGAAAGAGCAGTTCTAAACAAATGAGTTTGTCATGCTCGATGATTTGAAAGGAAGGAAGAGCGTTCCAGACAGCTGCAGAGCAGCACTTTCACAGAACACAGAACAGGTTATAATAATACTTACATTCGATATAGCATCATTCATGCTAATAGCATCCCATAACTCTGTACGTTAATTTTATATAAGGACCAAATCCCCTACACAGCCACTGCCAAGCAAATGAAAACCCTACTACTACCAAGCTAAATAAAAATGAATAAACAAATTAAGAAATGGCTACACAACAGAAGCAGCACAAACAACAACAATAACAATAATATAAGTTATCACAACAGAGAAAGGAGTCCACATCCCAGACCACAATCTCAACTTCACAATCAAGCCAGGAAATTTAAAACGCGACCAATATCATCCAACATGAAGGATTTTGTTGGGTTGGATCGCGTAAATATAAATGTGGCGTTAAACTCGCCACCACCCGACATGGCCAATTATTAAGGTTTGTCACGTAAACAGAACGTGCCAATTAGGAAACCTTCACAGGAAGGCGGCAGAAAGTTACGACTAACTTATACCGATCAGTCCAATCTCTTTGCCGTTGTCGATGTTTATTTGAACCGGTGGCCCCCCCACTGCCTGGCTATCGCGATCCGATTCCAGAACGCCGGGCGCGAGCCAACGACGTGGAGGGATGCACGCTCGGAAATCACGTTGACAGGACGGGCAAAGGGGTGATCGCATGGATCTGAGAGCGCAATTCACACGCGAGAATTCAGACTTGAGAAAAAACGAAGTGAGCGGGGCACGTCATGGTTAGCGGGGGACGATGATGGCCGATGGTCAGGAACCGTGACGGAGCGGCAGCCGAGGAACGGGAACGCGTCTTGAGAGGACGCTCCGCCGAGGGAGATGGAGCGACGGTGGAACGAGCGCGCGTGCGGCTGGATTAGCGCCTCCGATTAGTGCGGTTTTGGCTCCGTACGGCGCGAAAGACATTCAACGTATATTACGTCGCAGGCTTGTGAGAGGGTAACGCCAGTTTAGGAAGGCCTTCATCTAGCAGTCGATAGATCATGGCCGATCAGGGTTCTTCAAGTTTTGTGAACGACAGATTTGAGGTGACCCCTTCAGGCAGAAGACATATATCAATGATGATAATAGATTAAAACAGACTAGTAACTTTAAGAAGAAACAATTAACATGTTTTACGCCGCCGTTAAAATATATCATATTTAACCTCATGTGTCCTGACTTCTGGGCCACCCTGCATAATAGGTGACGTCTCAGGCAAATGGCCTGTCTTCATGGCAAGCAATCAGAGATGCACTGGGTGATAAGAGTGGACTTCGACTCTCAACTTGTATTATCCACTCTGTCTCGCCTCTCTGTGCTACGACGAAGAGCCATTGCCCAAAACGTCACCTGTCATGTATTTTGATGCATATATTTTTTTTTAAAGCGGCGTTATTGACCTATGTGTTGAAATTAGTTTTTGTCAAGGTACGCTTGTGCACCGACTGCCAACGCTGCAATAGCAGCGTCACCAAAGTTATTCGGTCAAAATAGTGAATCATTGCATAGCGACAGACTGCGGGTTTAGGCGGCAGTGTTTACAACAAACAAGCTTCTCGCTCGGCCCGGACAGTACCTTTCACACACGAGCGTCGGCCGCTGACACATCCTGCCGTCCACAAGCTCGGCATTCGAAACCACCCCACGCTTACTCACTCCCGCACACAGACCGGCCTCTTTCATCGCGCGACACTGTGCGCCGTTTGTCCCGTTTTCCCCGACGAACTCGCCGCTCATCTGCGTTTTCCCCCTTTTCGCAGGGCTCCAACCCGCTCTTCCCGAACTCCAACCACTCCGAGGTCTCCTTCCACGGGCTGCCGCTTCCGTCTGGGAATTGAGGTTTTTTTTTTGGAGAGGTCGGAGGCGACGCGCGGCGGATCGGAACGCAGACCAACGCCGTGACACGCCCCTTGTAAGCGGGCCATCTGCCAGGAGACGTTCGCTTGAGGCCGGGTTCAACGAGTTCCTCCTTGTTGGCAACGAGCCGTCGCCTCCAGACAGGCCGGACCGACGTGGACGCCAGCCGAGTGGTGACCGACTCGCGCCCATCACTCGACTTTTCTCCATCCCTGCCGAGGCCCCCCACCACCCCCCCCCCCCGCCCGTCGACCTGCCTCTTAAATGGCATCTGCCTCGTTATCCGCCCCCTCCCCCACCCCCTGCCATGCTTATACATCATTTTTTTTTCACCGTACAACTGAGCTGCACCGGGTGGATTGGGGGGGGGGGTGGGGCATGTCCGTCGACGGCTCGTTGTCTCCCACCCAATGGGCGAGGGGTCGTGCTGTGTTTAAAGAGTCGTCACCGAACGACTGTCACACGCAATGAAATGCGTTGTATGCCCCCACCACCCCTCTCTAACACTCTGGCCCTGCTTGGCCCCGAGCCAGATTCAGAAGCCTTCTTCGCGAGGCCAAAGTATCGCGGTGGCTCGACATGGCAAACGGCCGGTGGGAAGTCCAACCCGTGCCGTTAAATGCCCACCCCCCCACGCTGGCTTATCTCGGATGTGCCAGTGAAAAGTCGGTATGTATATATATGTAACGAGTCATCCCGAAATCAGCGTATGAAGTTGCGATTTTATTTAGGCAGGCTCACCTTGTCATTTACAGGCAGTGACCGTCGTCACGGCAGAGGTCGCAAACGGGTTTTGATTCCTTACCCTACCCGTACCCAGCCGGGTACGGGTAGGGTACGGGTATCGGGTACATGATTGCGACCTCTGGGATGAAGCCATGTTGCAGGCGCGGGTGGGTTGATTCTAGGAACTTGAATTGTGAGAAGAGACAAGACGTTGGGAAATGAGTGACAAACGGTGACTCACCAGTGACCCACGGTCTGCCCGTACCCGGCTGCACCAATGTCGCAAACGGGTACCCGTACCCGGCTGGGTACGGGTACCCGGGTATCGGGTAGGGTACGGGTATTGGGTACCCGGTTGCGACATCTGTGTCACGGTGACCATCGTCACGGTGACCGCCGTCACGGTGACCGTCATCACGGTGATCGTGACTATTGCCGAAATGATTGTGATGATTATTGAACTAAAACTAAACAATTTTATTTCATCAGGTAAGGCCCATTGAGCAGCTAAAAAGCTATTTTTCAGAAGCGACCTGGCCATCAAAATGCTGGCTCAACAAGAAGTGGCTTATCATCTTGTGGAAATTTATAGCAGCCAAATTCTCTAAAACGCGCAATGTTTGTGGTAAATGTGGAGGGAAACACACCGGAGGGCCTGGAGGAAAAACATCGATGCGACCACATTGTTACGGTGAAGATGCGCAGAGTGACAACAATCCTGTGCCGATCGGAGAGGAAACGTGTTCGCGAAATGCAGCCGGCCAATAATCAACACAGTGACGGCGGGATCACTGCAATGAAAATTGTCTACAGTTTCTTGAGATGGAGTTTCAGAGTATCCTTTCATGTGTAACCATGTAATCATCCTTTTTAAGTTATTGATGAATTGTAATATAAACGCGTGGTCATGTATAGCAATAACACGTCTGTGTTAAATTCGCTTTAAGTGGGGAAGTGAAGCACCCCACTTGACATTCCCTGCGTGCGTCCGCGCGTGCGTTTACCTGTAGAAACGTGCGCCAATTCTTTATACGTTCACACGCTCCGTTGCCGTAGTGGAACACAAACTGTTTAAATCCATAAAAGCCTTCCCACGGCGAATATGGATTAAATGTCGCACGACTGCCGGTTACAACAAATGCCCGGTGCTTCGTGAACACTTTTGGTAAGAATTGGATTCGGTTGATTCTAAATAATTCCAATTCACATTGAAATTTTTTTGTACCCCTTTAAAATGTTGCGGTTGCCCGTCCAGCAGCATGTGTGGCCCGCTAACGAAGTGGGCCCTCATATCCGTAGCGGCGAAAACAAAGTGTGTAGACTACGGTAATGGAAATGTTTTAGCGTGTGGTTGATACATGTAAATACCAGCGTAAAAAGCCAGCAGGTTATTATTGATTTGCTTTCTGTCCGTGTACAGTGCGAAATAAGTTCAACATACATACATGCGTACGTTCGCGGAGAAGTCGGGTATTCCATTCCATGGTCCCGTATGATTGAATTCTCCGCTGGCCACACGCAGGCAAACTTACTATGCTTGAGATTCCGTATTATTGCTTGCTGCTCAAGAGAGACCCCTTAACACAACACCAGGGTCTCGAAGCTCACTTGATTGGATTGACTTTGTGTGCGTAATGAATAACCAAATGTCTCTGCTTTTAACACTTGATATATTTTATTATGCTACATTTTTATGGTGACCCTGGGACACACACGGAGCAATGACGCCAGAAAAAAACATTGGAACTATTCCCAGAACATTTCGTCTTTTTTTTTTTAACACGTAGAAATAATTCACAAAACGTTGTCATTAACACAGCCTTAAATATAAATTTATGGAAAAGCCGGGTGACGCCGTGCCAGAAACGTGATGAAGTGCGCCTTCTGGGTGCCACAAGTTCTGGCCTGTAACCCCTTGAGGACGGCAGTGAAGTGTTTATAGCCTGCTTGGCGAAAACTCGTCAGGGTGTAAGCGATTTGGAGGGTGGCATTTTCAGCTTCTGTTAGCGCCCAAAAGTGAGTTTATTGCTTCATCATGAGATAAGTTAAACTTGTTTGTCAGGTGAGAACTTAAGAGAGACCAGGAGAGTCTCTGTTGCAAGTGTGACCTGCCAGGCGGGGGGGGGATGATTGTTGTGCAGAATACAATTTTGGGTGATCCGCGGCATAACCTTAGAATTTTGGCAACGTTGGGACCCCGACGCCGGCACACGATGGCCCGCTCTTGCGAATGACGCCAAGGGGATCTTTAGGGTCCACTGTGAGTGAAACAGACGGCGCGCAGCAGCAGCAGCAGTAGTATAATTATCACTCGGGTTATTACCACAGTATTAATCGTGGCGGCCACTGGATTTGAACCGTGATCATCAGCAAGTCGGCGATAGCGCGACCGCCGCTGGCTCGGCCTTGTCAATGCTTTTGTAGTGACACCGACAGACATGGTGACTTAACAAGAGCCTTTTATTCAGACTCAGCACCAACGATGCCCAGGCTTGGTTCTTGAGGCTTGAGCGCCATCTTCTCCAACGTCTCCTCTCCCGTTTTGCTTGTCCCCTTTCATACCTCCCAAGCGACCTCTCTGGAAGCTTCTATGACCCCACTCCCTTCGGCCAATCCTGGCCCTTCCCCACCCAATGGTTCTAGACCATCCTATAGTCCACCGCTCGTTTTCTCGCCTCTCTACCTTTCACATCTTTCCTCCAATTCCTTTCGATCTTCGTCTCCCGACCAATCACTGCCGATGTCTCCCTGCACCAATGGGAGACCTTGACCCACCGAAGGGGCCATCCATTGAGTAGGTAAAAAAAAATCTGTCAAAACTTGACCCA